CAGCAATAGTGTGGCCAGCAGGACTGGGGCAGTGATTGTCCTCCTGTATTCGGCACTGGTGAGGCCACACGTCGAATCTGGTGTTTGGTTTTGGGCCCCTCACGAGAAGAAGGACATGGAGGTGCTGGAGCGTGTCCAGAGAAGGGCAATGGAGCTGGTGAAGGGTCTGGAGCACAAGTGTTATAGGAGCGGCTGGGGGAACTGGGGGTGTTCAGCCTGGAGAAAAGGGGCTGAACTTCTCTCTGCAACTACCTGAGAGGAGGTTGTGGTGAGGTGGGATCAGGCTCTTCTCCCAAGTACCAAGCGATAGGACAAGAGGAAAAGGTCTCAAGTTGCACCAGGGGAGGTTAGTTTGGGTATTACGAAAAATTTCTTCACCGAAAGGGTTGTCAGGCATTGGAACAGGCTGCCCAGGGGGTGGAGTCACCATCCCTGGAGGTGTTTAAAAGACGTGCAGACATGGTGCTGAGGGACATGGTTTAGTGGTGGACTTGGCAGTGTTGGATGAACGGTTGGACTCAATGATCTTCAAGGTCTTTTCCAACCTAAACAATTCTATGATTCTATATTGTCCTAATTGCTGAGTCAAATAAATGTTCTTTTCAGAGGGCTGCATTTGGAAAAGACTATGTTGAGGAGAAGTTAACTGGTGGTGACACAGAAGAGAAGTAGGAGGAGGCTTCAGAAAAGTCTTTCAAGATCTCCTGTGCCTGGTCTGCTTTTTTGCTCAAAGCAATCTATCCAGACCCTTCTGTTTTCTCTTTCTAGATCAACGTGAAAGAGGCCAAAGAGATTTGGCACAACATGAAGAAGCTGGATGGAGACGTAGAGAAGAAATACAAGATAACTTGTGATGGTAAGAGAGTACAGGTGTCAAATAACCTTCAGATAAAGAGCAGTAGTGGAAAACTGAACAGATTCATACTTCTTATCTCTGGCTGTGTACCAGGAATGAGCATCAAAAAGTACAAAATGCCTGTTCTCCTGCCACCAGCTCACCAGGGAGCTCAAAACAGGCCTGAAGTTTGTTCATTTTTTCCTGTTGGGCCTCAGAAGATGGTGGAACTATTCAGCCGTGTGTGATGGGCAGCAAAACCCCAGAAATAATGGGTGAGACAGCGGGCAGAGAAGTGCTAACAGCTGCTGCTGGCATGCCCTTCCTCTTGCAGGTGTGAAGACAGTGCCAGAGGTAGCTCGTACTGGGGAAAACCTCCTTCCTTGTTATTTTCTGTATGCAATAAGAGCTTTGGAGTCACTGGTGTAGCTGCCTTCCTCCAGTGCAGTCAGATTGTTTTGGAGTTGGGTTTTCTTTTTCATTCTTCGTACACTCAAGGGAGACAGAGCAACATCTGGGAGCAAAATGGAGATTTTCACAACCCCTTTAAATGTCATGCAAATTCCCAGCAAGACGTAGGGCCAGAAACATTTTTTTAACAAAGGGTTTTGTTTTATAGATCATGGTGTTTTATGATGAGAAAATTACCCTCTCGCTGACGTGCCTTGTTCTTTCTTACAGGGTATTTGAAACTTTGGCAGCTCAGCAAGCCTCAGCTCTCAGGATACGATGCCATTTTTGTCGATGAAGCACAGGACTGCACTCCAGGTGAGCAGTGACAGGAGACAGAGCTGCAGCCTCCCTAAGCACTCTACAGAGAGGATGTCCACGTGCTCAGGGGTGTGTGAGAAGTGGCACAATTGAAAAAAAATTATGCCCCTTGGCTGTAACGTTGTACCTGACCCGTTGCTTGGTCCCAGATCCTTGCAAATTCAGTAAGGCAGGTTGCAAACAGGCTGCAAGAGTACATGGGCGTCATCTTGAGGGGTTGCTTTCAGTTGCTTTGGGCATCCAGACATGCCATCCAGACCCTTTTGCTATTGCTTTGCTGCAGAAAACCAGAAACACCAGCATAGCTGGGGACATGGCTTGTTACAAGAGTGGCGAGACATTAAATGGTTCAGCTATGAGAACAGCAGAGCTGCTCCATCCCACCTCAGCACTGGGTGCAAGTCTTGCCCTATCCTTGCACCATCCTGAGGATTCCTGGGTCATGTAGCTGGAAGCTGTTGGTTTATCCCCTTTGCTGGGGATATGGGGAATAGCACTCTTGCAAAGCAAGTTGGATTGGTTCTGCAGAGGGGTCTAAGTGGACCAAACTGTGTGCTGAGGAGCTAAAGAAGGGGGGCAGAAGAAAGCCTGGTCTTTTCAGTGGATATTAAATCAGCTGAAAGGTTTCTTCAGACCATCTTTCACCTGTACTCGCTGGAGAACTGGTCTTGGGAGCGTTGGGCTGTGCTTTTGCAGCTGTGTGTGCTGCAAAGTGTTGCTCTGGCAGCATCGCTGAGCGTGGTCGCAGTGGCCTGAAGGGCTTTCCGAGGTGTGCACTGAGTCAGTGTGCACATGTGCAGCACGTCTGAGTCACTGGGATGGGTGCTGGGTTTGTGCTGGGTTCACGCCTGTGGCTTCAAGATGTTTGCAGCTCCAGTCCAGGAAAAAATTCCTTCAGACTAGAATAGTGGGAGTGTGTTTGTAGACCTCCCAGTCAGCTGCGAGCTTTCCTTTGCTTCTCACTGGCTTGCTGTGTCCTGCAGCTGTGTTGACTCTTTCTTAGATGCCAGGAGTCATCAGGCAAGAGATCTTGCCTCTGTACAAGCAAGAGATTTAGTACAGTTCACTCAGGCTCCTCCTTAATGCTCCAATGTTTTCCTGCAGCCATCGTGGATGTTGTGCTGTCACAGACATGCGGCATAATCCTCGTGGGAGACCCTCACCAGCAGATCTATACCTTCCGAGGTGCTGTCAATACCCTCTACTCGGTGCCTCACACCCACGTCTACTACCTCACCCAGGTAAGATGAGGGTTTCTGCTGTCCTTCCCTGGACAGATCCCTGATGCAGAAGAAAATGTTTCACATCCTTCTTGAGAAGGCATCTAAGAGCCAGACTTGTTGAGTTTGTCAGCGTGGAGCGTTTGTTTGCCTGGATTAGTGGTATGCCCTGCTGTTCACACTCAAAAGAGCTGCTTTTCCACTCTTCATGGAATGATCCCATCACTAGGAAAGCCCTGTGGCTTGTAAAATGGGTACTGGGGTAGAGTCCTTAGTATATGGCTTATTTCAAGGAGATCTCCTCTTTTCTGGGTTGATTCTCAGCTGCAGCTGAGTGGCCAGAAGCAGATACCCTCCTTGCTCGTGTTGCCAGTTACAACAGGGGGACCATGCAGAGATGTGAAGGAGTTGGAAGGAAGGAGATGCAATTTGTTCTGGCAGCGACCTCCTTGAAATAAAACCACATTGACTAAGGAGGACGTATTTACTGGCTCTACACACGATCTTTTTTATTTCTGGCTCTGTACAAACCCTGGCATTGTCACCTCTGTCCCACCACTGCCCCTTTGTCCATGGTATCTCCTGCCCTGTTTGTCTACCAAGGGTGTAATTTTCTTGAGCAGCTTCAGCTCATCCGAGTTTGCCCTGGAAGAGAGCTCCCACCTTCCTTCAGCACAAGTGCTGTTTGTGTCTCCAGGCTGGAATACCTAACCTGCTGCTGTGCCAACTGAAAGCTCACCCTGATTTGGTTTTTGGCCTGATTAGCCACATGATTACACAATTGTCACAGTTAATATAAGGGAGGAGCTATCCCTTTTGGAATCCTTGCAGAATGAATCGGCTAAACCACGACAACCACCAATACAAGCTGTAATGCAACCAGCTCCTAAACCAGAACAGACACCAAAACACCCACCCACCCGAGCTGCCTTTTCCCCTTTGCACCGTGCCAGCCTTGCCAGGGAGCCAGAGCCAGGGACAGACACGTAGCAACGGGGACTGCCTTTATTTGCAGTGGCACATCTTGTGACAAGTCTTGAGACCAGCCTTCCATCACCTTGCTTGTGGAATTTTTTTGGGTAACAAGATTTTTGCACTTGTCTTTGCTGGTGGAGCTCTGGTCTGTCACCTGTCCACCAGCCCAGCCAGGTTAGGGACCTGGGTGCTTTCCCACCACCTCCAGCCCCTGCCCTGCTGCAGGACGGGTGTGCAGGGCACGTTGCAATAACTTACTGGGGAAGAGTCTTGGCAGTGGCAACTGTTGGGGCGGAGAGGCTGGAAACCACATTTTGCCCTGTATGATAGTTCCATCTCACAGCACAGTTCCTATCACCTTGGGGAGGAGTAACCAGAGTTTCTAGGAATAGTTTAGGTGGATTTGAGTGATTTTTCTAAGAGAAAGGTTGTCCAGAAGGTTGGTGGGAATTGTATAGTTCCATATATAGTAATACTTTTGTAGGTTATAACAAGTTCCTCTTCTTTTCCTGCTGTTTCCTTCCTTTTTTTCCCACGTAGAGTTTCAGATTTGGTCCTGAAATAGCTTATATTGGAGCAACCATTCTGGATGTCTGCAAGAGGATCAGGAATAAGACGTTAGTGGGTGGAAACCAAAAGGGTGAGTTGTGTGGGTGCACTGCTCAGCTCGGTCAGCTCTGTTCGGTGACTGGGAGTCACAGAGCTACTGCGTAATGAGCAAAGTGTCTTGGATGAATCCTGATTTATGAACATCTTTGGTTTTTAGATACCTGCTTTCAAATTGCACAGGCTAACTGGGAATTTCTTCGTGCAGGTGATGTGAGAGGCAGCATGGAAGGGAAGATAACAATCTTATCACGAAGCAATTTTAACGTGTTCGAGGATGCTGTGAAACTTACTGGGAGAGAAAGACCGATTAAAATACACGTGATTGGGGTAAGGAGAAATTGCCAATGCGTCTTTCACATCCCAACTTCAAGTCCCAAAGCCTGTTAGAGCTGGTAGCAGCGATACCTACTTGTGGCTTGAAATAGGTGTGGCTGATGTGCTGTCGTCTGTAGCACCCAGGTTTAAAACTAATATTCAAGGAGAAAGCAGCAATCTGTTGTGGCTGGGGAAAAATAGAATCATAGAATCACAGAATGGTT